ATACGGCTGGCCGGAGCTACAAATGACGTTCACATGATGGACGTGAGGACTGGGCGATGGGAGAAGTGGGCGCCGCAGGGCGAGCCCCCCTCCCCACGTGCCGCCCACGCAGCAGCAGCCGTCGGCAACATGGTCGTTGTACAGGTGAGGGCTTTGGGGAGGCTGGAGGGCGGGGCGGGCAGAGCAGGCAGCGGTTTTGGCCGGATCTCACGTCTGGCTTTGCAGGGATCACATGCCGACAGGATGGTGCATGTGCACAGTAAGCGACGGCAGCCCTTGTCCCTGCTGTTGCTCTCCTGTCAAGACCCTGTTCTCCCTGGAGGCTCCCGCACCTGTAGTCTTTTGGGTGGTTGCGCATGCAAGACCCCTCTCGCGCCACCGGCACACGTGCATGCAGGGCGGCATCGGCCCGGCGGGACTGGCATCCGAGGACCTGCACGTGCTCGACTTTACCGACACCGAGAAGCCGCGCTGGCACAGGTCGGTCGGCGTGGTGCTCGTGATCATGGTCGCAGCGGCCTGTGGGCACCAAGAGGCCACTGCATGCGCAGCATGTACCCGCCGATCTCGTCCTGCCCGAGCAGAGGCTGATGCACCTCACGTCTCGTCCCACACCCCACCCACTCCCCCTTTCCCCACCCCCGACAGGGTGGCGGTAGCCGGCCCCGGCCCCTCGGCACGGTACGCGCACACTCTGGCCCTGGTGGCCAACCGCTTCCTGGTGGCGGCCGGGGGCAACGACGGCAAGGCCACGCTGCACGACGCCTGGTCCCTGGACACCAGCGAGAAGCCATACGCCTGGCGCCGCGTGGCGGACAGCGGCGACGAGCCGCCCGCGCGCATGTACGCGGCGGCCGCCGCCCGCTCCGACGGCCTGCTCCTGCTCTGCGGCGGGCGCGACGTGGACGGCGTCCCCCTGGACGACGCCTACGGCCTGGCCCGGCACCGCGACGGGCGTTGGGAGTGGGCCGCCGCCCCCGGCACGCTGCCCGCGCCGCGCTACCAGCACGGCGCCGTGTTTGTCAACGCGCGCCTGCACGTGCTGGGGGGCGCGGTGGGCGGCGGGCGCATGGTGGACGAGGCGGCGGCGGGCGTGGCCCTGGACACCGCGGTGGGGGCCTGGGTGGGGCAGGAGGCCCCCGGCGGCGACGCGCCCGCGGCTGCCGGCGCGGCGGTGACCCTGGTGTCGCCGGACAATGCGGGCCCGGGGGCGGACGCGGTGGCCCCCGACGCCGACGCCATGCGGCGCTGCCGGCACGCGGTGGCGGCGGTGGGCCCGCTCATCTTCGTGCACGGCGGCCTGCGCGGGTCCACGCTGCTGGAGGACGTGCTGCTGGCCGACGACTCGGGCGGCACCGAGCTGACCGCCTGCGACCCGCGCTCCCCGGCCTGGCAGGCCTGGATCAACGCAGTGCACGGGCGCGAGGCGGCGGCCGCGCTGGCCAGCGCCGCGGCCGAGGAGGCCGCCGCGGCCGCCGCCATGTCCATCCGCCGCGTGGGGGGGACGGGGGACCTGGCGGGGCGCGCGCGCGGCGCCGGCGACGGGGAGGACGAGGAGGACGAGGGGGAGGGGATCGACGCGGGCGAGGGCGCCCGCCCCGGCGCGCCGCGCCGTGGCTCGCCGCCGGGGTCGCTGTCGCTGGGCGCGCGCGCGCGCGGCGACTTCCCCGCCTCGCGCGACATGCCCACGCCGGACGTGCGGCTGTACCACCGCGCCGTGGTCGTGGCGCAGGACGTGCAGGGCGAGCTGCGCGGCCTGGTTCGCCAGCTGTCCATCGACCAGTTCGAGAACGAGGGGCGGCGCGTGTCGCTGGGCGGCGCCGCGGGGGACGGGCCGCCGGGGTCGGGGCGCAGCCGCACCCCGCTTTTCGAACGCGCGTTCTCCATGCCGGTGAGCGCACGTGCCTCGCTGTGTTGGGGCGGGGGCGAGGCGAGGGGCCGGCGTGGGCGGGGCGAGGGGCCGGCGTGGGCGAGGCGAGGGGCCGGCGTGGGCGGGGCTCCCGCCAGGGCCAGAGGGTGGGCCGGACCTGGGGGCTGGGCCACCGAGCCGCCGACGTTTCGTCGGTGGGAGGTAGACTGTGCGCGCCAAGGGGGAACAGGGGGCGCGGCGGAATACTCGTATGAGCATGGGGAGGGTCAGCAGCGAACAGAGACACAGGCTGGATAGAAGCCTGGGATTCGATTCGAGGTAGCCCATGCATCTCATCCTGTGCCCCTCCAGAGCATCACACACACACCCTTTTCACCCCTCCCACCGCCGCCACCCTCCCCACCCCCAAACAATAATACATGCAGACGCACGGCATGCACAAGCAGGTGCTGCGGGAGCTGCTCATCCCACGGCACTGGCGACCACCGGAGTCGCGCGACTTCTTCCTGGACGCCGACGCCATCCACACATTGTGCGATCAGGCGGAGGCCATCTTCCAGGCGGAGCCCACCCTACTGCGGCTCAGGGGTAGGTGTCGTGATTTTGGTCGGCTAGAAAGGGGGAAAGGGGAGGGGGGCGCGCCGGGTCAGAGAGACTTGCCATGGGGCTCGGGAGTCTGTGGTATTGGAAGTGCACGGGGAGGTATGCTGGTCACCGGTCTCGTGGACAGCTCCAGGTCACGCCAGGCCTGCCCGCCTGCATATACAACCACACTTTCACAAATCCCGCCTAAACTTCCTGAACCAACAGCGCCCGTCAAGATCTTTGGGGACCTGCACGGCCAGTTCGGGGACCTGATGCGGCTGTTCGAGGAGTACGGCACGCCCTCCACCTCCGGCGACATCACCTACATCGACTACCTGGTGGGAGTTGGTTTTTTGGGGGGGAATTCTCTGGCAGGAGAATTAAGGCAGGGAGGAGTGGGGGTCCAGCCGGTCAGGTAGCGGGCCGGGGGCAGAGGGGTCCCACCATACACCATGGGCCGAGTGCCATTCCAAACATGGGAAGAGTGGGTGAGCCACTTTGAACCCGCATCGGGCGGCGCAACCTTGCCATTTCAGCCTTCGCCATGGTTCCAGGCCCTCCCGTTGACCGGCCCACCTGTTTTGCCTGTGCAATTGCCTCCCCCAATCCCTCACTGTTCAGCACCATCTCAGATCCCCCTTCCCCCTCTCCTTAAAAAAAGTTCTTGGGCGACTACGTGGACCGCGGCGCTCATTCGCTGGAGACCATGTGCCTGCTGCTGGCGCTGAAGATCGACCACCCCGAGAACGTGCACCTGATCCGGGGCAACCACGAGGCCTCCGACATCAACGCCCTCTTCGGCTTCCGGCTGGAGTGCGTGGAGCGGCTGGGCGAGCCGGAGGGCCTGCGCGCCTGGAACCGCTTCAACCAGCTCTTCAACTGGCTGCCCCTGGCGGCGGTGATCGAGGACAAGGTTCTGTGCATGCACGGCGGCATCGGGCGCTCCATCCACAGTATGGAGCAGATCGCGGAGCTGGCCCGCCCGCTCACCATGGAGGACGGCGGCGTGGTGCTGATGGACCTGCTCTGGTCCGACCCCACCACCAACGACGCGGTGGAGGGGGTGCAGCCCAGCCCGCGCGGCCCGGGCCTGGTCACCTTTGGCCCCGACCGCGTGCTGGAGTTCTGCCAGGCGAACGAGCTGCAGATGATCGTGCGCGCTCACGAGTGCGTGATGGATGGCTTCGAGCGCTTCGCGCACGGCCGCCTCATCACCCTCTTCTCCGCCACCAACTACTGCGGCACCGCCAACAACGCGGGGGCCGTGCTCGTCCTGGGCAGGGACCTGGTGGGTGGCCAGAGAGGGGGGAGGAGGGTTTGGGGGGGAGGGCCGGGTCGTCAGACGATGAGGGCTTGGTGTGGGGTATATGCAGAGGCTGGAACCTGATGATGTGCAGAAGCTGCAGGAGGGGTCGATGGGTATGTGCAGACAAAGACATGTGGGCCAATCCAGGCTGCCATCCCGGGCCTGGCTGCGCAGATCGTAGAGCCACTGCATGCATTCATGCATGCGGCTGCACCTGACCCAGGTACCCCATACGACGAAAGACCCCTGTCGGAACCCCCCCCCCCACTCACACATGCACCCACCACAGGTGATGGTGCCCAAGCTGATCCACCCGCTGCCCCCGACGACGCCGCGACAACCGCACAGCCCCACCCTGGCGGGGGAGGAGATCATCGAGGACCCGCCCACACCCCACCCCTCCTCGGGCGACATGTGGATGCAGGTGGGCTGGCGCTCTTGGAATGGGGTCGGGGTGATATTGGTGGGTAGGGTGCATGCGGCCTGCGGGTAAACCCCATTCTGCTGTGTCATGCATGGCCTCATTGTCGAAGGTCCCGAGCCTGGCGTTGCTGGGAGGGCAACTTGATGAAGGGACCTCCCATGGAAGTTCCCCGCTGTGCGAATGGTGTCGACTCCCACCCTCTCTTCCCCCAATTCGACCACCATTCACCTAAACAGGCGGTGAATGCCGAGAGACCACCCACGCCGCCCCGCGGTCGACCCTCCAGTCCGCAGTCATTTTTCGACTGACACCCCGTCCTTTTCGCCCCCTCGCCGTCACCTGTGATGTGCCATGCCACAAACCTGAGTCCCAGCTTGCAAGCGCATGATGTAGCAAAAACAAAGTTGCGGCGGCGCCTGGGAAGCAGGGGCGGCTGCAATGGTGTTGCATTGCACTGTGTGCCGCAGGAGACAGGGGTGCTGCCGAGCACTGTGCTGAGCAGGTAGGATGACAGTCTGAGAAAGTGAACAGTGGGCCACCAACCCCTTGCTCTTCTTGGGGTTCTCGCAAGCTTATATGAGGACGCAGCACCTAGATGAGCAAAGACTAAGCAGGAGACTGTTTCACAAAGGGACATCGGGAAGAAAGTGTGAGGCTCGCACTGAGGATCTTCATGCTGCTCTCCTGCTCTCCAGCACACCTTGCAGGGAGGGGTGCAGCTGGGCTAGGTGGGGCATGCCCGTCCGCGCCCCCAGCTCAGTGCACTTGGCCGCAGCGACAACCGTGCCCAGCTTCGCGGCAGCTTCCAGGCTGGCACCAACAGACACACTGACCAGGAGCGAGCCCAGGAAGGCGTCCCCAGCGCCCGTGGTGTCAACGACCTCCTGAGGGAGGGAGGGAAGGCAGGGCAGGGGGCTTTGAGACGTGCCCGCAGGAGGCTAGTCCTCTTAATAACGGGATGTACACTTCATCACCCACCGTCTCCAGGCTTGCGGCTTGATGCACCAGGACGCCAAACCCCGTCCCATCCTGGAGTTGTAGATGCCCTGAGGCACAGGCGCCCACCCTGCGTCAAGGTTTTGGGTTCGCATGTCAGGATACAAGGCAGGGCAATGATTGTGCAAGCATGCGCCCTCGCTGCAAGCCGGCCCTGCCATCCCATGCTGGGTGCCCTGGCTGTCGTTGCCCATGCACCGTGTCGAGAAAGGAACCTGTCTTGCTTCTTCCTGCCTGTCAATCAGTCTCTCTCGCCGATTCGCAATATTTCCCCATCATCCTCACACCTGACCAGTGATCCATTCAGCGCTGTGCAAGCGGCCTCCTCGGAGCCTTCGATGCCCTTCCTGCGTGCATCGGCCTCGCCCCAGAGCTTTTGCATGAGTCGGTCGAGGTCTGCCCCGCTGCCGATCGGCTCACCACTGCCTTCCTGCCGTTGGAATGCCACCAACCCGCTCGGACCCAGTGTGGTGACCAGCCAGCGGGCTGAGGTCAGTCTCCCCAACATGCACAGCAGGGCGGAGCCCAGCGAGAGTTCCTGGGTCCACGTCTTGGGGGTGGGGGGTGGGGGGTATTGGGAGCAGGGAGCGCTGTTCATGCGGAGCGAAGGTTGCAAGAGAGTCATGAAGGCCTGTTCAGGTGGCGTCCCGAGGCAGTGGACAATGGCCTGACGATGCCATGCATTTGCTGTCCCTGTCGGCCATCGCTCTTGAAAATTGTGGCCACCCTGGTCTCTACAGCTGCACCTGCATCCCCTCTGCAATGCGATGCTCACCTTGGGGAAGGTGGCGTTGGTGTACACATACTGAGCGCCTTGCAGCAGGACATCAAGCCCCGGCCGTGGCTTTTCCGCCTCCACCAGGACAGGAATGCCTGTTGATCCATTTGTGAGGAGGGGAGAAAGGATGGTGCAAGGCGCCTCTGCTCAGCTGCTGAGCCAACACATGCCTCTGGAGGGGCCATGGTAACACCATCACCGACCGACTCACGCACCTCTCGCATGCGCACCGCCCAGAAGCTGCACCGCTGCCTCCGGATGTCTCCCATCCAAGAACACCAGCTTGGTGGCTGAGGAAAGCACCACCCCACGCTCCAAACCCAGAGCCTCTCCCTCAACAGCCGTCATGTCCTCGCCAGGGGAATGGATGCACGTCCTTGTTCCACCTGGGGCATCACAGATTGTGACACTTGGAGCACTGGAGACAATTCAGGTTCCCTGTAACACTCACATGATGACGACCATAACTAACATCATGAGCTCGATGAACACTCAATTCGGCAACCAGCAAGGGCCATTTCTCGGCCCCAACCCACCTGCTGCATCCACTATGATGTAGGTTGTGGGCGAGGGGCCGGTCTTGGAGAACAGAAGGCACTGGGTGTCGATGCCCTCCCCCTGCAACTCAGCCTCAATGCTGCTTCCAGCAGCGTCACTCCCTGCCTTGCTGATGATGGCCACGGGTGCACCCAGACGTGCAGCGGCAGTGAGGGCGTTGGCGCAGTTACCGCCGCCCTGGATCTGCATCCACTTGAAAACGGATGCTGCCGGTGAGACGAGTACCCCACCCGAGGGGGTCACATTGCAGCACAGGCCTCTCTTGGCACCATCAAGCACTGGCGAATACCAACACGAATCCAATCTAGCTCACCAAAAGCCGTCTGGCGCGGATCTTTTCGTCAGGGGCGGGGAAGGAGTCCACGAGGGCCAGGGTGTCCAGACCACAGGACCCCAGACCCAGGACCGCGCAGTCGAGCTGAGCCGGGCGGGGCTCCTTCATCGCGGAGCCGACTATGGGGTAACGCGATGGCCGATGGCGGTATGCACACCGGTTGTCAGGCTGCTGATGCATTGCACCCCGCTGCCTGTCCGCTGCCGCGCTGGAGCTGGCGATGCCGCTCATGGCCGCGACATGGTCCGGACGGGGTCCCACTGCATGAACCACCATGCGCGTATGCTAGCCCGGGAATTCCTAGCAGTATGCCAGGACCTGGATGTCTGTCGCGGCAAAATGGAGCTCTTGTCGCCTCCTGTATTCGTAATGGTCCTGCAGAAGGCGACAGACTCCCAAGTCTTGTCCTGGTGGTCCCTCGGGATCAAGAAGATAAGAGATTCAAAACACACCATTCCATTACGAAACTACAATGGGATGATGTTTGGGTATTCCGATCAGTTTGCTACCATATTCTCTTTGCCAATTGCTCATGCGTAAGGCATGGCGACAGCTGGCTTTGTGTGCCTGTGAGATCAGTAACTTTGCATTGATTCAGCCTCCTCTCACCAAGTACTTCCAGGTGACCTTGCTGAATCACTTCTATCAATTGAGTCGACTCTACGCATATCAGTACACCCTGGGTGCTTCATGACAGTAGGTGCCACTTGTGGATTTGACACAGTCTTCACAGGATCTGCTCGGTCTGGCGCCGGCGCCCTCGCGCTCGCGTTACTCCAACTTGCAAATGCTTCGCGCCCGCTCATAGCGAGGAATTGGGCGTCGCATGCATCTCAGACAGTACTTTAGGTATTCCCATTCCTCTCGTGCCCAGGAAGACACAACGGGTCCCCGTACTCACAAAACTTCGCACCTCGTGCCAGGGACCCGCGAGGCACGCCAGCATGGGCAGGCCACGAAAGCCTTTCATCGACAAGAAGAATTCCACGACGTATAATCTCATTCATAGAAATACAGATGCTGGCGAAGTGGTGGATGCTTCTGGTCGCGTGTTCGTGGACGCCGGCAAGGGAGTGGGACTGGGCCGGGTGGACGAGGAGGCTGCAGCTGCAGCGCGCGCAGCCTCTGGAACTGCGAACAGGAGGTATTCAGAGGCGCTTGTTTGGGCTTGGGAGTTTGAGAGGGCCAGGTGAAGAGCCCAACGAGGGTATGTTTGGGCACGGAGATAGGGCAACACAGCTGAGTCTTTCCAGAGCGCCCATGGCAACCAAGAACCTGCATGCCCTTGGACCGTGGCCTTGGTGATCCTTGCAGCCATATCATGTCCATTTCCATACCACTGAACTTGTCAAAGCCGCTTACATCCCACCAGATACCCCCCGGGACACCCCCTTGCCTGGCTGGAGGCCGAGGAGAGCGGCCCCTCCAGCTCCCTCACCCCTGCGCGGCGTCGCGAGCTGATCGAGCTGGGCTTCCCAGATGACGGCTACGACTACCTGGCCCACCTGAGGGCGCTGGGCGGCGGCAGCAACGCCTTGGAGGGACCCGACAGGAGCGAGCTGGCCGCGGCGGTCGGGCCCGGGGTCTTCGTCCCAGCGCAAAAGCCCCTGGCCCCCGCCGCCGACGTGGCGCTGTACGATGCGCACGCCCTGGCGCTGCCGGGCGGGGCGGTGAAGGAGGAGGAAGAGGAGGCCGAGGGGGCCATGGGCGGCGTGACCGCCTTCACGCGCCGGCGCGAGCGCGCCCCCGCTGCCATAGGTGAGGGTAATTGACAGGCGTCGGAGGGTTTTAGGTTGCAGGGTCTGGCCAGGGGGCTCCATGCATCCTGGATCGGCTGTTCTTGTTCATGACAGACGCGCAGAACCGAGTGTCAAGAGTTTATTGCGACAGACTTCATGGATGCTGTTCATGGCTGGTGTTAATCTTTGAGAGCTCTATACCGAGCCTGATGCCCTCATCGTGTCCCCATCTGTCATGCATGCCTGCGCCCTGTGCTGCTGCAGATCAGGAGGAGCTCGCCGAGCTGGATGCCATGCTGGCGCAAGCAGAGGCGGAGGCGGAGGCGGAGGAGATCGGGGAGGAAGGCCTGGGAGACCTGCTGGATGACTTCATCCTCACGGCAGTCGGGCGGCATGAGGAAGGCACGGGCGCTGACGAGGCCGACGAGGGCCACTCCTGGAAGGGGAAGGAGTCATCTGCCTCGGAGGTTTCCTCCGCGCCAAGTGACAGTGAGTCCGAGGACGAGGACTTTGAGTCTGAGGCCGGCGACGGTCTGGGGGAGCTGAGGGGCGAGGGCTCCGTCCAGTCTCGGTGGCCAGGCCGGACGGCGCCCAAGGCGGGCAGCATCGCCTCCACCTACTGGCGGGAGGAGCGCCAGGATCGGAGGGGGGAGCTGACCACCCTGGACGACAGGTGTGAGGAGACAGGGATGGTTCTGGCCTTTCACCTTCATGAGTGGGTGGAATGCAGCTGGTCCACCAGTCCCCTGCCCCTTTGGGAGATCGTGTTGGCAGCCAAGGTCTACTGGCTGTCGGCCCAAGCATGCAGTCACCTCTACCTCTAGCGAGAGGTCCTGAACCCCTTTCTGGACGATGCGGCTTGGAGGAACGCCTTCTCCTTTTCCAACCACCCCCGGTTCCAGGTTTGAGCATGTGGCGCTGGAGTACGACGAGGACGAGATCGGGGATCTGTCAGACCACGGGTCCGACCTGGAGGGGGACACTGCGCCAGAGGAGCTGGCGCCGCAGCTGGCCTTCCTGCTCACCATCGACGAGCGGGACAAGGCCGCGCGCCTGCGTGGAGTGAGTGGGTTTTGGGAACCCGGGGGGCGGAATGCTGGGAGGGGCAGGGAGTCCTGACAGAGAGGTGGCTGGCGTCGTGGAGAGGTCTTGCCTTGCACGACAGCGCCATCTGCGCGCGGATGAGGCGAAGCGAGGGCATGATATGCTGTCCACCGCTGCATGTGTTGCTGGAGGCACAGTCCACCGCCATGCCCTGCTCAAGACTGCCACATTCACATGATGTCAGGAGGGCCAAGCGACCCGCCCCTCGGCGCTGGCCGCACAGCTGGAGAGGTTCGGCATGACCGACGACGACCACGAGGCCGCCGTTCGTAAGGTGAGTGGGTGATCGGGGTGGGGCACCTGGGGATTTGGCGTGGCGCTGGAGACGGGCTGGAGGTCCTGTCTGTCCTTGCCGGCAAGCGGCGAGGGTCTCCATGCTGGCTGACCATGGTCCCATGCTGCGCCGGGATGGCCTGCGCTGGCCCTCACCGCCGCGCCCTCCCCTCTTCACACTGCAGGCCAAGGATTTGGTGCAATGGGCCGAGGCGGAGGAGGGGCCAGACACCAGCGTCCCCCGACCGCACGGCAGCATCTACGTCCCGGCGGAGCACCACGAGCGCGAGCGCTGGGACGCCGAGACCGTGCTGTCACTGCGCAGCAACCTGGACAACCACCCGGGGCGCATCGCGGCGGACACCACGCGGGCGCGGCGGCGCGGCCCGCAGGCGATCGAGGAGGCCGCGCCGGTGACGGAGCCCATACGGTTGAATGCGGCCGGGTTCCCGCTGGGCCTGGGGCCCGCCCGCCGGCGGCCGGGGGCGGCGGCGATGCCCGAGCCGGCGGCGGCCGAGTCCTCGGGCTCTGGGAAGGAGGGGCCGGAGGGTGATCCCGAGACGGGGGCCGGACCGTCGCTGCAGAGGCACAAGGGCGAGACGGCCGAGGAGAAGCGGGCGCGCAAGGCGGCCGTGAAGGAGGCGGCGCGGGCGGCGCGGGCGGCGAAGAAGGAGCTCAAGGGCCTCTTCAAGGAGGAGCGGGGCAAGGCGGCCAGGCGCTCGGCCACGGCGCAGCCCCAGGCTGCCCTGCACATGCCCTGAGCCTGGCAATGAGTGGTGGAGTGCGGCATTGGGGCCCACAGGCCCCCAGTGTGATTGCATGTTCTGGCCGAAGCTTCCTTTGCTGTGACAGGCGGAGCTCATTCAAGCTCCCAAGGCAGGCAAACAGTTTCTGCTGGTGACACACAGTGCTGCGATCCTGGGATAATGGTGAGCCCCACGCTGCTCAGTCCTGGTGACCCGCAGCAGCGGCCAGAGCCAGGCGCGACGGGCGGGCGGTCGGTGCCCTCGGCCGCTTGGGGGGCTTGGGCGGGCCCAGAGCTGCTGGAGGGAAGGGGAGAGAGGAAGGCTCGACAGTGACTGTATGAGTTCAGCACAATGAGCTCCTGCAATGGCTGATTCAAGCCGGGCACTGAAGGCCATGCTTGCATGAGTTATCGGGCCTCACCATTGCAAACATGGCACATGCAAGACGCCAAGCAGCCTCACCTGCTGCTTCAATAGGATCGAGTGCCCCAAACCTTGTTGGTATCGCCCGCATGTCCTCCTTGAACAGCACTTCGGCCAGAGCTGCCTTTTCCCTTTCTCGAGTTGCTTGCCTGTGAATGGGATCTGGCCTTGAGGAGGAGACCAGGACGGCTGCTGGAACCTTCATCATTGGCAACAACACAAGCCTGGCAGGCCCTATGCATCCATTGTGGAAACATGGCCACGTATTACGACAAAGGCCCAGGCCGTGCCTGAGAAAGTCGTCGGAGACTGCAGCGTCCTCGGTGTATGCAGTGGTAGCTGCTTCCAGGGCGGCACATTTCTCCACCCGAGGCCCTGATTGCATCGTCTCCCCTGCCTGTCCCCTTCGCCGAAAGGCTTTGTAGTTGGGCAGCCCTGCATGGGGTTGGAACTGTGGCTAAGGCACATGGCAAGTCCCAAGAAAGGAGCTGCTGCTGGGAGGGAGGCAACTCGGATGTCAAGGCTGGATGGCCCAGGAGGCACCCTAGACATGGATCACGGCCTGGAGCAGACATACCTCTCGTCCAACCTCAGCCCCTCCTCCACAGCACAGACCCTAGAATGGCCCGAGTACCTGTGGCCCCTGCACTCCCTCCCATGCGCCCCAGGCTTCCCCTCTCCGGCACGACAATGTCCAGGATGAGGGGCGCAAAGCTGATGGTGGCCTGTGTTTCCTCCACTCGTTCCCCCACAGCCTCCGCCTGCTGCTCCAGTGTTGAGCTCGCCGGCGGGACGGCTTGCGGTGTCTCTGCGTGGCTCATCAGCTCGTCCTCCCCCTGCAGCACCTGGCGCCGCTTCCTCGGCCGCGCCCCCTCTTCCGCCATTGTGTCCGGCCCCGAGAGGCTGGCTGGCGCCTGCCTGACCCCAGCTGCAGCTGGATGCTCCTGCCGCCCTGGCCTCTTCCAGGCCCGCTGCGAGGCCACAGGAGCGATAGGGCTGGCCGCCACACTGCCCTCCCGCCTCGGCGCACCCATCGTGCCCTCATCCTCTGACGCCTCGGTGGTGTCGCCCGTGTGCTCCTCTGCCGCGGGCACGTCTGTCGGGGGCCGTGCCACCTGCAGGGCTCCCAGCGGGTCTGTGCCTGCCCATAGTGCGTCCTGCAGCGAGGGGGAGAGGGGAATAGCTATGATGTGGAGCCCAGGTGCCCCCCTCCACGACCCAGCTCCGGGGGGTGACGAATCGTGGCAGCCTGAGCGAGCAAGGATGCATGCAGCAGGCATGCCGCGGTGGTGTGTGCACGTTGAGCCACACTTCAGATCAACAGGCCCCCAACAGTGGACCAAAGCGCTCGGCACCCAGCCGCAGGACAAGGGCGCAAGGGCTGGTATCGACACGAGCCTGCCTTATCCTGCTGCAAGCACATGCTCCAACCACCTCGCCGCAGCAGCACCAGCCTAAGAACCCCGACGCACCAGGAGCAGCTGTGCCGTTGTCCACGAAGCTTGGAACTCAGTCCCAGTTGGGTCAGCCTCCAGGATGCGCCATGCCTTGGCATGCCTGGGCAGTGCAGGTTCGAGAAAGTGCCCACCCAGCCGCTGCAGCACCGCTTGCAGGTGCTCGTCCTTTCCCAAATGTGAATTGAGTGGCACAGGAACAGGGCTGTGAGTTCCTGCCGCGGATTCACGAGAGCTTGGAGGCAGTCACCGGAGGCCGCTTCCACAGGGCTCGTCCTGCCGAGCCCCCCCCTCACCTTGGCCTTCCCCTCCCACGCAAATGCCTGGTCCTTGAGTGCCTGCTGCGCCTCGAGATCCCTCAGGAAGGAGTTCAGGTCCGCCACTGACCTGCTCCCTGCCAGCTTTGGAGGATGGGCCGCCTCGTCGGGGGCATCGTGGCGCCACACCCCTTCATGCTCATCCCAGGCGCGGAGCCTGTGCAGGGGCATGGCGAGAGGAATGTTGCTTGCTGGGAGGATGACCCAGCAAGGACTGCGGAGGGAGTCACAACCAACCTTGGCGTTCCTGACCTGCCATCCTCATCTTTCCACGAACCCAGCGCGGCCCCTCCCTCACCAATCAGCAGTCACGACTGGCAGCTCGGAGATCAACGCCAGCAGGAGTACTGGGCTGGGAGCGACAGGCGCCGTGCTCGCAGCTATAACCCTGGTGCCAGGGTGTCGCAGGTCCGACACAAGAGGAACTCCTGCGCGTGCCAGATGAGTGGGGAGCTGGCAGCCAGGCTTGCGGCAATGGGTGACGGCCGGCACGTACTGCATGGGCATGTGGCCTGAGCTCAGCCTTGGCCCCAGAAAGCAGACCAGGGAAACACGACTGCCACCATCCCCACCAAGTTTCACGGCCAAACGAGCTGCAGCCTGTGCCTCATCCTGGGGAAGGTTGGGTAGGAGGTACGCCACCCATTCCAGGTTGTACAGCCTGCATGGTGAGGGATGCATGAGCTTGATGCGCACAACATTGGCTCTTGGGAGGAGCCGCCGGCATGCAGCTCACCTGAATGGGGACTTCAAACCAAACTGCACAGCGGACGTTTGGCAGGGAAAGGGTTGATGGTGCATGGCACAAGGGAGGGAACAGTCGGCAACATGGAAGCCACCCACTTCATTACATGGCACCAAACCGTACCGTCCCTCCTCGCCGCACCTTGATGTAGAATTCATGCCTTGCCACGGCCTCCTTGTCCTTCCCTCTGGCGAGCATTCCCTCATTGGTCGGGGTCACCAGGGTGCCATAGCGGCTCGTGTCTGCAGGTTGGTGCCGGGCATACAAGTCGGATCAAGGTCTACTGGCAAATCATCGATACGAGTTCCATGGCCCTGCCCAGTCCCAGTCAAGGCGCGAGCACAGAATCTCTAGGCGCAGTCATCTCACCAGAGACACGAACAAAGGGCCCTTGGGCCTCGCTTTCCCAGGCTTCGGGCCCTGGCACCCAGAGGTGTGCATGCTCCCTCGAAATGCTCTTGTCGTCTGTTACAGCGATGTCGCACTGGCCCGCCAGACGACCCACGCTATAGGTCCCTGGTTTCAGGAAATACTTGACTGTTCTGCTTTCCAGAGGTCGGTCATCATCTGCGAACTCTTTTGCCTCCAGGAGCCAGAGGCTCGTCATGGACGGCAGAGCTCGCGCAGAGTCGAACGCACGTCATCCAGGGGTCATGAGCCTTTGCACGGCTTTATAAATACGGTGCGATGGGTTTGATATAGCTGCCAATACTAGTGTGTCTGAGCACTGCTCCTTGACGAGATCGCGTGCTTTGGATGCTTTCTAATTGCGCGGATTGGCAATGCTCTTACATGCCGCGCGACCATCAGATTAAGCCTCTGACGCCTACGTTGGCCTGTTCATCCCGCAGCGGAGAGGTGCGCGACAAGGCAAGCGTGAGGGCGTGACGACAATCTTCGCGAAGATCCGGGGGTGCTACAGCCTGCTCACAAACGTCAGCAATACCCTCAGTAGCCCAGCATACCGTGGAGTGTTATTTAATGATGAGACCAGTGGTGGTTTGCCGGGATCCTGGTCATGCGGCGGTGTGTCGTGTGGGTGGGGACATGCCAAACATGAAACACTTCTAAAGTATTCTCTTCACAGGAATGTGGGGTTTCAGCAGCAGACCACCACCAGGTGACGCAGGCAATGACCTGCCAGTTCCCGCAATCCACGAATGGGTTGCTGGATGCTCGTCAAATGATCCCTAATTGGTCGTATAGACGGCCAGAAGCTATGGAGTCGGTTCCTGATCGCCAGCGTTCGCTCGCTGTGCTGAGATGATGGTATAAAGTCCGACGAGGGATGGAGAAAGTATGGCAGCACGTGGCCGTCCCTCTCGAGTGGATCAACATGATCCCAAAGTTCGGTTTTCATTGCCGGAAACAGTCCCGGTGCTGCATGGACAAGAACCCGGAGCCATGCTTTTTGCCGTGGGGTCAAGGTCTGTTTCCATTCCAGATCACGGTGTCGCGCACCGTGCAGGCACCTCCTCGGAGCACACCGTGCCGCCAACACACCGAGTGAATCATCGACGCAGCTTGCTTGCCGCTGTACCGGGCTTCCCAATTTTGCACTTGCTTCTGCCTCGTTTGGCAGCCTCTCAAGAAGCCGAGCTTGTCAACAAAGTTTCACCCCTGTCCAACCTTTTACAGTCCCCAGCAGGCATGATGGCCCAGTACTGGCAGGGGATTGAACAGTCGTAGTTCTGGCTCACCCCGAATATGACGTACAGGTGGCATATGCCTGAATTTGATAGCCCATTACACGCAGTTTGGAGACCTGCACTCTGACTGGACATCCATTCCTGCCACAAATGCAGCATTCTACCGATCTCGACAGCAGGCGGGTGGCGGAGCCAAGATCCTGGCGCCCATCCGCGGGTCCAGAGCCGGCCTGGAACGCTGCCGCTTCATATTGAATGATGGGGGTCCCAACCCGTACGTGGCCATGCTACGGCTGGCAAGGAGTGCCTCCATGAACTGCTATCTGTACGAACCTAACGCTGGGGAGGGGTGGGAGGCGCGCGCATCTCTCATCCAACAGAGCCTGCCATTCAGCGACCCTTGCACGCTTCGCTTGATGTGAGCCTTGTGTGGCTGGTGGTGGGAGGCAAAGGGGTCGGCATGTGTCAGGGTTGTAGCATTGCACCCAGCAAATTGGTCGGGTGATGCTCGTCTCCCGCAGACCCATAACACATTGACTATGGGCACGCCCTGTCCTCTTGGCATGCAGGCGATCACTGAAGCGATATAAAAGAGAGCAGTTGCCATATTTGAGCCTCCCATCCTTCTGCTGCACACTTCATTCACAGATACAAGAACAGCATCACCCTGAACAAGGACCCTGCGCTCCAGCAGCAAGGGAAGGTGCAACTAGAACGTCTGATCAGGTGAGATAAATTGGCACCGGGCGCTTACATGTTTTGGGGCAAGACTGTTTAGAACGGCACCATGACTTCGAAATTAAGGCTGTATAGGGCCCTGCGAGAGTACACGTTGATTTGCTCAAGCGGTGCTGTAGTTGCCTTTCGTCTTGAGGTTGACGATCACCGGTCGTCTCACCAGCCGCTCTTTGCGATCCTATCCAAAGGAACTTCCAGCTTTTGGATGACATGCTGGAGCGGGCGTCGCAGGGGGACCAGGCAGCAGTGCAGCAGGTGCCCAAAATTCTTGATGACGCCATCGAAACTAATGCTGGTTTTGAGGCCACCATCCTTGCATGCCTGGGGTTGTGAGATGGCCACTATGTGTGTGGATTCACTAGCAGATGATCGCTTGGCAGCCATTGAGCAAGGTGTGTCGTAAGCATGTTTGATTGAGTGCTCCCAAGGAGGATTTTAAGCCCAGCGTCTCATGCTCACTCGTTGACGGGGAATGCACGACTCACAGGGCAATACACCCGTGCGATTGGAGCACGAAGCCGATAGCCGTCAGACAAACGTCGTGCGAAAGACCTGTCGTGATACTTAAAAATGAAGTGGAACAATACGACACTGTTCCAAAACCGCATGCTGAAGAGCACCCATCACAAGCATCCCGACGGCATTATTGTCGAACATATGGTGGCGGACTTGTACGGGGCGTTTGAAATTCCCAGCGTGAAGAGAGTGGTTCCCAGCGGCGCGACATGCCACCCCAATACCAGACGCAAAGCATGACACGCCCAAAGCTGGCCTCTCACGGACGACAGAGGTTACGGCAGAGGCTAAACTAAAAATCCCACGTGATGTTAGGGTTTGACTACACGGGTGTCCTGAAGGATGGCAGTCGGTCACCATAGGCTTTGTGAATGGGAACTTAAATGCACGCAAAGTCTTCCGCGCCTCGTTCTGGACCTGTCGACAGTGTGCAAAGGCCGCCTCGTCCTTCCGGCTGTGGTACAGGACGATTTTCCGAAAGCTTCCGTTCGACCCCGACCGGGGCAGCGGACCAGGGAGCGAGGGTTGCGAAAACACTAGGGCAATAGGATCATGCAGCGTGAGGACTGTCGTCAGAAGTTTCAGAGTGATTTGGAGGCACAAGAAAGCTGCCTACCAAATCAGAAACTTTCGTTGCGACTTTGCACCACTTGCCAAGAGCACAAACCCCATACCCAGTCCCTCAGGATGGGGTATGCCGACAAGATCAATGCGAGGGTGGAGAATAGCGTGAGTGGCGCCAGTTTGTTAAAAAAACATGCCTGAGTACCCTTGGGCCGGCTGATCCCGCCATGCACCACCGATTTACAGCCTCGGTCTAGGGCTTTACTGCCGACGCATCGCATGGCCGTGCCCGCTCGCCGGGATGGCCGAAACACTCCGCTCCCTCACTCGACGCCCCCCTCCCCCTTTGCAGATCGTGGGGCGCTACTTCAAGGTGAAGGAGAGGAACACCAGCTTCACCCAGGAGCTGCGCGGTGGCAGTGTGACCTTCCTCACGGTGCGCTGGCGGCCTGGCATTTGTCAGTCGAGGGACACATCGGGGCGGGCTGTCGGGGTACAGCTCGCTCGCTTGTTCCTCGAGGGATGAATGAGTCCTGTATTCTTATCATCCCGCTGGGATTGGGGACCTGGTCTGTTGACAGGAGGTCGCACGATGAGGCTGGCATCAGGGGTTGCTGCGCGTTAACCGTGTCGTGGATTTTCCTCCCGCCCGCGTCCTGGCTCAACCAGGCTGCGCTCACACACCTGGGTTCCCGCTTCCACCCCGATCCGCCGACCCCACTTCCCTCTCTGCCCCCTCTCTCAAAGTGCCTCTTTGCCTGACAACCCCTCGCCTGCTCATGCCAGGTGGCGTACATCCTGGCTGTGAACGCCGGCATCCTGGCCGACACGGGCGGCATCTGCCCCACCAACGGCGCCTGCCCGCTGGGCCCCGGCAGCATCGGCACGGCGGCCTGCGACGACTGCGTGGCCAACACCAAGCGCTCCTTCATTTCCGCCACCGCCGCCATCTGCGTCATCGCCAACTTCCTGATGGGCATCATGGGCAACCTGCCGCTGGCCATCGCCCCCGGCATGGGCCTGAACGCCTACTTCACCTACACTGTGGTCGGCTTCTTCGGCACGGGCATGGTCACCTACCAGATGGCCCTGGCCGCCGTCTTCATCGAGGGGTTCATCTTCGTCTTCATCTCCGTCATCGGCCTGCGCACCTGGCTCACCACCATCGTGCCCAAGTCCATCTGGCTGGCCTCCTCCGCGGGCATCGGCGCCTTCCTGGCCTTCATCGGGCTGCAGCAGGCGGAGGGCCTGGGCGTGGTGACCTACAACGGGGCCACCGCCGTGGGCCTGGGCGGCTGCCCCCCCGGCTACCGCAACCACCAGTACACCTTCTCCACCGCGCAGCTGGAGTCGGCCTGCATCCTGTCCGACGGCGCGGCCATCGCCAACCCCGCCAACTCGGGCTGGACGCCCTCCAGCAACTACTTTTGCGAGAGCGCGGGCGTCATGCGCTCTGGCCAGACCTGGCTGGGCATCGCGGGTGGGAGGGGGGGAAAGGGACGACGTTGTGAGGATGGCTTGGGGACCATGGGGTTCGCTTTGGCGGTGGCAGCTGGAGTGGCGGCGGCGCCCGCTTGCGGTGTGATGCGTCCCCAGGACCCTTTGGACCCCCTGCCCCCCCTCGCATCCACCCCTGACATCACCCCCTACCGTACCTCACCACTCCACCATCCACCCCCACCCTACTCCCACCCCACCCACCGCCAGGTGGCATGCTGATGGCGGTGCTGCTGGCCAAGAACCTGAAGGGCGCGCTGATGGTGGGCATCCTGTTTGTCACCTTCATCTCCTGGATCCCCTCCTCCGGCAACCATGCTGCGTACCTGGGCTCCTCGGCGGGGCCCGGGGGCCAGGAGCGGCTGGACTACTTCCGCAAGGTGGTGGCCGTGCCCGACACCAGCTACACCGCGGCCCAGCTCGATTTCTCCGGCTTCAAGACCGGCCAGCTCTGGCTCGCGCTCATCACCTTCCTCTACGTCGACTTCCTGGACTGCACGGGGACCCTCTACTCCATGGCCAACTTCCTGGGCCTCTACATCCCTAACTTCATTGACAAGAAGACGCTGCAGTTCGAGCGCCAGCTCCCCGCCTTCTGCGTGGACGGCGTGTCCATCACCGTTGGCGCAGTGCTGGGCACCTCCCCGGTCACCGTCTTCGTGGAAAGCGCGTCGGGCATCAGGGAGGGCGCGCGCACGGGCATTGCCGCCCTCATGGTGAGGCAGGGGTGCTTTCGTGTTTGGGAGTGAGGTGGTGGCGGGGATGGAGTTTCTCAACCTGTGCTAGAGGCCAGCGCGGCTTGTTTCTCTCTGCGCCTTGCATGCCAGAGCACCGGCCTTGCCACGGCATAGCGTGGTCCCAGCGGTCCTGCATACCGTGGTGACTGGTACTATTCTCTGGCTCGTTCAATTACCCTCTCACCCCCATTCGCT